TTTTAAATTTTTTCCTAATCTTCTGAATTTTTTAAAATTTTAAAAAAATAAAAATAAAAAATGGTGCACAAATCACCAAGGCTCCCAAGGCTGCGCCCATCAAGGTTTTTAAAATCGGACCGGACCGGCCGATTGAACCGGTCGAATCGGTACCCGGTAATGAAAATGGTTCGATTCATATAAAAAACCGTTTGAGGTCAAAAACCGGTCAAAATTGGTCAAAAACCGGTCAAAAACCGTTCAAAACCGTTCAAAACCGGTGAAACCGGTGGAACCAATAAAACCGGAAAAACCATCGGTTCAATTTCTCATGCAATTTTCTTTTTATTTTTTCCAATTCCACCCTCACCATTCCTTTCTTATACCGATTTTAACCCTTAATTTTAATGAAATTACAAAATTACCTATCCCTCTCATCAAATTTCCCTTATTATTTGAACCGACCGGTTCACCGGTTCAACCGGTTGAAACGGTCAAACCGAAAACCGAACCCAAAAACGGTTCAATGACCGGTCCGGTTTTAAAAACCTTGGCGCCCATGCTCTGGGCAGAGGCATGTCACCTTATGGCGCCTAGCGCCTTCTACAACAATAGTTATAGTGATAATACTCCAGGAAAACCCACCAGCCTTAAGTTGTTGGATTTTTTGTATGGTCGGCTTGGAACTTCCTTAATAGCTGCAGAGACTGATAATAGAGATTGAGATCAATACCATCAACATTTCTACCAACATAAGCCTGCAAGATAGTTTGAAATAGAAAATAACAACATACTGTATTAACATGAGGAATTTGTGGTGAGATCAGGGACAGAGCCAGGAAATTCAATTACGGGACGAAATTTATTAATTGTTAAAGATTTGAGTCTTTTAAGGGTGTTTTTTATGACACTAAATTATTTTTTTTTAAATCTTCTCTCTTATAAAAAAAAAAATTTACTTGTGATCTTTTTTATTGATATATTTTCAGCAAAAATTAGAAACAAATGTATTTTTTCAATTATAATAAAAACCAAAATATCATAGTAATAAATTGTACAATAATCAATTGAAGAATGAATAAAAAAAATGTGTTTGTTAGTCAAATCTTTAACAAATTATGAAGAAAAACACTACAAAATTAAATTGTTTTAATAAATTTGCATTGAAAAAGA